ATATGTATAATACTTTGTTTTACGTACACATTTGTGTCGATTAATTTTTAAGATGTGATGTCTTTTTCATTGTAATGCGCATTGAGCATCTTTTAGGAAATGGAAATGCGCAGTATAAATGCTATTTATTATTATTATTATTACATACCTTCAAAGCAACAACAACAACAAAAAACAACACACAGTCACTGACACAACACACTACATACCTTCAAAGCAACAACAACAAAAAACAACACACAGTCACTGACACAACACACGTTCATTCTCAAGTACGAGCGAAGTTCATTAACGCAAAGTCAATCAACAAATCATGAAAGCTATTGAAACAATTCTGATGAGGGAACACAGAAGGTTTTCAGCCAAACGATTAAAATGGCAAACAGCCTTGGAGTTGGTCCACCACCAGCAGTCGGCCACATCATTGTAACAACCGACAGAAAAGATGACGTCATAGTCAACACTCGTGTGGTGATGGGAAAGGGGTGCTGGTGGTTTCACTTGCGGGCAGTCTCCACATTCGCTACATACCAGTCGCAAGTCTCTTTGATGGCTGCAAAAAAAGATAATAAATGAAAATAAAACAATGACAAAATGAACACAAAAAAGCCAAATACTTTCTCAATATTTAATCACAGTGTTGCTTGATTGCTTGAATAAATAGAAGCACATCAGCAGATCAGCGAAAACTCGCACACCAATTCGATAACGGTCGCTTAGTTAGAGTAAAGAGAAACACATCGACACAACAACGGCTATGTTTAGTAAGGCGAAGCACATCGAAACAATAACGGTAATTGTTTGAATAACGAGAATCAGATCAATACAATAACGGCCATTGAGAGCTTGGAATAAACAAGACAAACAGAACTAGGACCTAACAGTAATACCCTACAAACACTCGCTTTATTAGAGTGGGAAGAAAGAAAAGCTGCAACTGAATGGGTCAGAAAAATAGATGATCTCAGTCAAATTAAAAAACACATTCTTCTTCTCGCTCATCTCTAAAAGGACATTCCAGTATCTTGTGAGAAGGCTGCTGTTCTCTACAATTTGCCAAAAAGTAGAGTCCTTTGAATTGCTTCACACGTCAGGAGAGACTACACAATGTAAAATTTGAACGAAATACGTGGGTGGCTTTAAATCAAAGGTATGCCATTTGCAAATTGCCCAAGCTGTACTGTTCATTATTATCACTAGCTGGGGCCCCTTTCGATGAAAGGAATGATAGGTGCATTAACATTAAACTGAAAGTCATTGGCCTACTATAGTTACACTATACTAGAATGGAGCAATAAATCTTGAGAGAAAAGTGACACACGTGTTTCCAATTTGCCAAATTGTATAATAGATGTATAGATTGATTCTCTATTCCGCTTTCGTGGTTGTACACTCCAGAATTTCAAAGGTATGGAATCAATGCGCACGGTTAGTGAGCGGAAACCTCACTTGTTTACAATGGTGTCTTAGAAGACGGACTTTCCCAAGATTAGAACTCTGTGTGGACGAAACAAGGCATTTAGGAAAAATCGGGGAAAGCAGTTTGCGTGGATTTTTTAAAGTTAGGTCCTAGCCACTTGGATGCTGTGGACGCCTGCAAAGTTTCAAAGGTGTGGGTTAGGTAATAAGGAAGGAGATTGTGCACAAAACCTCACAAGTCCACTTATATAT